GGAAAAAGTACCGTATCCGCCCTCTTAGTCAGCAAGGGGGCGCTGCTTGTTGACGCCGACATCATCGCCCGGGAAGTCATGCTCCCGGGTCATCCGGTTTTGGAGGCGGCCGTCGAGCATTTTGGACAAGCCATCCTCCTTCCGGACGGAACGCTGGACCGCAGACGCCTGGGGGATATCGTGTTTCACGATCCCGGCGAACGCAAAGCTCTGAACGATATTACGCATCCTGCGATCCGTCAGGAGATCCGGGAGCAGATGCAGACCTTTGAAAGGGAGCACCCGGACCGCCTGGTGGTGGTGGACATCCCGCTCCTGTTTGAATCGGGTCTGGAAGCGATGTTTGAGCAGGTTCTGCTGGTCTATGCCCCGTTTGAGGTTCAGGTGGAACGCCTGATGGAGAGAAACCGGCTGACGAAGGATGAAGCGGTCGCGCGGATTCGTTCCCAAATGGATATCGAAGAGAAGAAGAAGCGGGCCGACGTTGTGATCGACAACAGTGGACAACCTTCCGAGACAGAGCGCCAAGTGGATGAATTTTGGAACCGGAAGGGCCTGCTATGAAGTTTTTACGAAAAAAAAGAGTGCTTCTTCTGTTGTTTTTAGGATTTGTCGTCATCCTGTTTTTTAATACGAACTGGATGTCGTGGTTTTACCCGATTCATTATAAAGAGAACATTCGTGAGCAGGCTGAGCGTTATGACGTCGACCCGTTTCTGGTGGCTTCGATTATCCGGGTGGAATCCAATTACAAGCTGGGCAAGGAGTCCAAGAAGGGGGCTCTCGGCTTGATGCAGTTAATGCCGGATACGGCCAATTGGGCGATGGAAAAGGCCAAGCTTCCCGAGGTGACGCTGGACCATATTAAGCATGAGCCGGAGGCCAGCATCGAAATCGGCACCTGGTATCTCAAAACGCTGTCGGAGCAGTTTAAAGGGAACCGGATTGCCGTGATCGCCGCATACAACGCGGGGCCTGGTAAAGTGGACGGTTGGCTGAAAAGAGGCGTATGGGACGGGACCTACGACTCGGTCAAAAATATTCCCATCGGGGAAACCCGGCACTACGTTCAGCGGGTCATTTATTACTACAATCAGTACACGCGGATATACAGCGAGTTCTAAAGGGAGTACTGTTCTGTTGCTAAACATAACAAAAGAAGCATTGGAGAAGCTAGGTTAGCGTCTCCAACACTTCTTCGGGTATCAAACCGAATTAGAATTGACCAGCCAGTTGTTGTTCAGCCAGGGTCACCAAACGTTTAGTGATAAGTCCCCCGATCGAACCGTTCTCATATGCAGTCATGTTGCCTTGGTATCCGTCTTGTGGGATGCTGATACCCAGTTCTTGAGCGACTTCATATTTCAATTGGTTCAGGGCTGCGGTAGCTTTAGGTACTACCAGGTTGTTGGAGCTGTTGTTGTTGGAAGCCATTGTTGTTCACCTCCTCGCTGTTTGTAAATGTATTATGTCTCGAAGCTCAGAAGTTCATTACTCTTTTTGAAAAGTTTTTGTTGGAAATTTAATACATTTCGGTGAGGCGGCAAGTTGATCCCTGATGGGATAAGGGTTCGCGATATTCGGACCCTGTGAATGTTCGTGATTTTGTTCTATATACACCGTGATTTGCAAAGGAAGGGAGTTTACCATGAAATGTCCGTACTGTGATTATGCCGGCACGAAAGTGCTGGACTCACGGCCCGCCAACGAAAATAAATCGATTCGCCGCAGGCGTGAGTGCGAGAAGTGCAGCCGGCGCTTTACCACGTTTGAGATGGTGGAGGAAACGCCGCTGATGGTCATCAAGAAGGACGGAAGCCGGGAAGAGTTCAGCCGGGATAAAATCCTCCGCGGCCTGATTCGCGCCTGCGAGAAGCGCCCGGTATCCGTGGAGCAGCTCGACATGATCGTCTCCGAGGTGGAGAAATCGCTGCGCAACACCGCCGTGGCGGAGGTGGAGAGCCGCCAGATCGGCGAACTGGTGATGGAGCAGCTGTATCCCGTGGACGAGGTGGCTTATGTCCGCTTTGCGTCGGTTTACCGCCAATTTAAAGATATCAACATGTTCATGAAAGAGCTGAAGGGACTGCTATCCAAAAATACGGTGGAGGACTAACCGTAAGGAAGCATGCTGCTTCGCCGGTCCGTTACTGAGGATGCAACCATCTTAAAGAGCAAAAGGGCCTTTCAGGGCCTCTTTTGCTTTTGGTGGTGGCCATGGCATGAGAGCATAAGGCTGAACACTTGCGTGAGTTCCAAAATCTTTTTTTGAATTTTTTTGTTGACACATGCATAAATCTTTGATAAATTATAAGAGTCGCTGATACATAATAAATCAGTAGAAAATATTAAGGGGCCTTAGCTCAGCTGGGAGAGCGCATCGCTGGCAGCGATGAGGTCAGGGGTTCGATCCCCCTAGGCTCCATAGAAGAAAAACCCTTGGGAATCAAGGGTTTTTTTGTTTTTTCATTTTTAGTTTGGCTTCATAATTTTGAAGTTGGGGACGAATTGGGGACAAATGTTCATTATTACCTCTTTAATTTCCCTTAAGGTTACAAAACTAATAAGCGCTCGAATTAAGCGCTTAGAATGTTGGGACAAAGTAACTTATTGGAATAACTAATTTTTATTGATCTATTTTTAGGTCATTATCTTCGTGAAAAATAATTGTATTAAATGCATCTGCAGCATGCTTATCTGCTGACTGAAGCGCATGTCCATAAATATTCATTGTTGTTCTAATATCTGCATGTCCTAGACTGCTTGAAATTGTTTTGGCGTGGATACCTTGATTAATAAGTAATGTTGCAGATGTATGTCGTAAGTTATGAAAACGAATTGGTTTGAGTTTTTTTCTTTTGATGAAACGTCGAAGCCATGTCCCAGGAACTGTATGATAATATGGTTTGCCATTCCATGTTGAGAAACAAAAAAGTGATTATTCATTCCTTCCCATTTATCACCTTCCTGTTCTTTCATAAAAATGGCAGGATTTTGGTAATTCTTTAAATCGTTAATCAAGCCGTTTGGTGCTGATACTTTTCGTATTGAATTCCTGGTTTTTGGCATCTTAATTACTTTTTCACCATTGACATAACTAAACGATTGCTTAACATCGATTACACCGGATGAGCCATGACTTTAAAAACATTTACTCTGTATTGCTGAAGTGCAAGTTGCATACCCATCCCCTCATTTCATCTTTGGGTCGATTCCGAGTGAGAATAGGTTATGTCCTTGCTGGATCTGGCTTTAAACTAGATATCACTTCTTTTTGGGACTCTTTGTTTGATAACGCCGCGCATTCACGGAAAGCGAAATGTTTACAACCTAGACATTTATTCAAATCCAGTTGCAATAGCGCGTAATTAAGTGCCTCACCGGTATGCCCAAAAAAATGTTCAGCCCCAATCAGCGTATACAACCCTGTTCTCTTCAAAACTTCCAATGGCTGAGATTGAATTCCGGATACAAGAATAATCCCGCCAAATTTCTCGAAATGTTTCACCAAACTGGACAGATTTGATTCACCCGTTGTATCCATAAAGGGTACTTTTCCCATGCGCAGTAGTAACACTTTTGGCCTTAGATGAATCGTATCCATGATGGACTTTTCAAACATGTTTGCGGCGCCGAAAAAGAGGGAGCCTTCGATGGTATAAATCCCGATTTGTGGACAATCGTGGCCTTCGGTTACCATATGGGCTTTCACTTTTTCATGTTTATCTGTTGGGTCAGGTAATACCTTGGAAACCATTAAGCCGTCACTCATGCGTTTGACAAACAGAAGAACAGCCAAAATCAATCCGACTTCAACGGCAGTCGTTAAATTCGTAAAGACCGTTAGCAAAAAGGTAAGGAGGAGTACAACGGAATCGCTCGTTTTGGTTTTCAAGACGTGAGCGAATTCATTTCGTTCGCTCATATTCCAAGCAACTAGCATCAGAATAGGTGCCATACTAGCAAGTGGGATCTCCGATGCGTAAGGTGCAAATAAAATGAGCACCAGTAATACAACAATGCCATGTATAATACCCGACAGAGGCGAGACCGCACCATTTTTGATATTGGTTGCTGTTCTTGCAATGGCTCCTGTCGCTGGAATGCCTCCAAAAAGAGGGGTTACCATATTAGCGACGCCTTGCCCAATCAGTTCACGATTGCTGTTATGACGACTGCCAGTCATGCCGTCGGCAACAACCGCCGATAATAAAGATTCGATACCGCCCAACATGGCAATAATGAAGGCGGGGCGAATCAAGTTTTCAATGCGATCCCAGGTTAGATCAGGAAAACGAAAATGCGGTAACGTGCTTGGAATAGCTCCAAATGACGATCCAATCGTTGCTACTTCCCCTTTAAAGAATACGGTCGCCACTACAGTGGATACGACAAGCCCTACCAAGGAACCAGGGACCTTCGATAAAAATTTCGGTGTTAAGAGGATAACTGCCAAACAGACGACCGCTGTGATAACACTGTAGAGATTCGTAGTTGTGAGATGCATCACAATTTCCTTCATATTGGGTAGAAAATTCTCATGTTTCTCGATACCGCTCAAACCTAAAAAGTTGGCAATCTGACCACTGAAGATAATCACAGCAATTCCAGCAGTAAACCCGATGGTTACAGGGCGAGGAATAAACTTAATCAACGCACCGAGTTTAAATAGCCCCATGAGAACAAGAATAATTCCCGCCAAAAATCCTGCAAGCAATAAATTTTCGTATCCATATTCCATGACGATCGCGAAAAGAATCGGAATAAATGCACCGGTCGGGCCGCCAATTTGAAATTTAGAACCTCCGAAAAAGGAAATACAGATACCGGCAACGATGGTTGTATAAATGCCATATTCCGGTTTTACACCAGCAGCAATAGCAAACGCCATCCCTAATGGAATGGCGATAATGCCAACAATGAGGCCTGAAATGAGATCCTTGCGGAATGCGGCTCCATAGTATCCTTCAAATCTTCCCGTCCATTTCAACTGAACTACCTTCTCTTTTTCATATATTTGATTATTTGAATATATATAAAATGTTACTCCTGCCAATGGCCAATGTCAATCGTAAAAAATCTTGCGTTGCTCCACATATCCCCGACTGCTAAACGAAAAAACAAGGTGATCCTTGATGTTGCTCATGGATACCCTTGTTTTCAGTTTAAGATTCATTTCGAATGTCCTCAAGCAATGAAATGGCGTCAACGAGATGATTATCAAAGATCTGTTTTGCAACTGCGAGCAAATCTTTAATCAGTGGGTCACGTAACGAATAAATGACCGAAGTGCCATCTTTTAGGCCCGTAACCACATTTTTATTTCGCAATACCGCCAACTGTTGAGAAACGGCCGAACCTTCCGAGCCTAAAATACTCTGTATCTCATTTACGTTTTTATCTCCTTCACTCAGAACCTCCAGGATTCGAATCCGCATGGGATGCGCCAGCGCCTTAAAAAAATCGGCTTTAAATTGTTGGATACTTTGATTCATGGCTAACGCCTCCTTAATCATGATACTTTTGAATATATGAATATCATAACACAACTTCACCCAAAAATATTCTGGAAGAAGGGCTCCGGATCATGGATTGTGACTTAGTTCTCCTGTATAATACCCATAATATTCAAATATATGATTATTTGATTTTAAAAATAGAACATAAGAAGTGGGTGTGAATGCCGGGCTCTACGAGTAAGGACTCATCACGTCAAGATTCGTCATCCTCTCATGATGACAAACATGGTGGATACCAGTCATGAATGGATCGTACAGCGGACAGGCATTCATGTACGACGAATTGCTGAGCGAGACGAATTTACCAGCGATCTCTGTATAAGCGCAGTCAGGAATCTCATTTTTCGGTATAACAAGACGATTGAGGATGTGGATTTTATATTGTTTGCACCACTACACCTGATTTTTTCACAAAATAATCACTGTTTTGGGGGCGGATTGGGAATGAAAACAGTCATCTTACTTCATAAATCAGCCTACAAGATCGTATTTCACTTGGAGAAATCCCTATAGAATAGGGTTTTAACACTAACCAGCTTAATGTATCGTAGTACGTTTCCATCGCTGGCAGCGATGAGGTCAGGGGTTCGATCCCCCTAGGCTCCATAAGAAGAAAACCCTTGGGAATCAAGTTTTTTTGTTTGTCTTTTTTAATTTTAAGTCCTGGCCCACTTCTTCCGATACTGGTGCGGCGTAGTGCCCATGCGCTGTTTGAACAATTTACAAAAATAAGAGCTGTTCGCCAAACCAATCTCCTCAGCAATGAGCGAGATTGGTTTTTTCGTGGTTGTTAACAGCAGAACGGATTGATGGACCCGGCGGGCCATGATGTATTCGGAGATGCTGATGCCTGTCGCCTCTTTGAAGAGATGCGAAACATGATAAGGAGATAAATGCAGCGACTTGGCCATGTCGTCCAATCGAAACGGTAACGTATAGTTGGCCTCGATCCATGTCAATATGTGCTCCACCTGATGATTTTGGCGAAGGGCCGGTTTGGGCAGCCCCGCTTCCGTCCGCTGATCCCATACGTGTTGGATCGAACGGTACAGCATGACCAGAAATAAAGAAAATTCCTCATATCTTTCTGCCTCTGAAAGCGCGGGTAATTGATTATCCAAGCTTTTGTAGACAGCGTCCAGGATGTGGAGCTCATCCCCGGTGTCATACAAGCACGGAACTGAGAGTTCCCCTAAATACAAGAATCGATAAAAGGTATGAAGCGTAGGCCATTTTTCAAAATAAGATTCAAACATCGTCGGCTCAAAGGTCACGAGAGAGCGTTCGAAGCATTGGCCTTCGTCGTATTCGAGCTTGAGATGATGAAGCTGATAAGGCTGAAAAATGCAGAGCATGCCCGGTTTGATGTCGTAGCGGTTGTTATTGACGATCATCGTCCCTTTCCCTTGATGGATCAACAATATTTCCACCCCGAGGTGGGAATGGAAGGTTTCTTTATGCTCATAGTTGACGCTTTTTCGTTTATAGGCAAAATGCAGGGGCACCTCGCTATAGTTACCCGCTACAAAAGACATGGCCGCTGCCTCCTTCTTCCCCCGTATGTACTCGCTTTCGGATCTATTCTATCGCAGAACCGCAACTCAGTGTTATTTTTTCCCCCACAGCGAAGCACAATGTTCTCGCAGCTTCAGTTAATATCCTTATATGCCAATGAATGAAGCTCATGGGAGGTTAAATGGATGATCAAGGTTGCGATTATAGGGACCGGGGCGATTTCGTCCGCTCATATCGAAGGTTATCTGCAGTTGAAGGACCGCTGCCAAATTGTTGCTTTATGCGATCTTTATCCCGAGAAGGCCGAAGCCAAGCGGGAGCAATACGGTTTGGCCGCTGCCATCGTTAAAGATTACAAGGAACTGCTTGATCAGGAGATCGACCTGGTTTC